TTACTGTTGTTCAGTTGTTGGTGAGTATATTGCATGATTCCCTTACTGTTGTTCAGTTGTTGGTGAGTATATTGCATGATTCCCTTACTGTTGTTCAGTTGTTGGTGAGTATATTTCATGATTCCCTTACTGTTGTTCAGTTGTTGGTGAATATATTTCATGATTCCCTTACTGTTGTTCAATTGTTGGTGAGTATATTGCATGATTCCCTTACTGTTGTTCAGTTGTTGGTGAGTATATTGCATGATTCCCTTACTGTTGTTCAGTTGTTGGTGAATATATTTCATGATTCCCTTACTGTTGTTCAGTTGTTGGTGAATATATTTCATGATTCCCTTACTGTTGTTCCATTGTTGGTGAGTATATTGCATAATTCCCTTACTGTTGTTCCATTGTTGGTGAATATATTTCATGATTCCCTTACTGTTGTTCAGTTGTTGGTGAATATATTTCATGATTCCCTTACTGTTGTTCAGTTGTTGGTGAGTATATTGCATGATTCCCTTACTGTTGTTCCTTACTGTTGTTGTTGGTGAGTATATTTCATGATTCCCTTACTGTTGTTCTATTGTTGGTGAATATATTTCATGATTCCCTTACTGTTGTTCAGTTGTTGGTGAGTATATTTCATGATTCCCTTACTGTTGTTCAGTTGTTGGTGAGTATATTTCATGATTCCCTTACTGTTGTTCAGTTGTTGGTGAGTATATTGCATGATTCCCTTACTGTTGTTCAGTTGTTGGTGAATATATTTCATGATTCCCTTACTGTTGTTCAGTTGTTGGTGAGTATATTGCATGATTCCCTTACTGTTGTTCAGTTGTTGGTGAGTATATTGCATGATTCCCTTGTTGTTGTTCAGTTGTTGGTGAATATATTTCATGATTCCCTTACTGTTGTTCAGTTGTTGGTGAGTATATTGCATGATTCCCTTTACTGTTGTTCCAGTTGTTGGTGAATATATTTTCAGTTGTTGGTGAATATATTTCATGATTCCCTTACTGTTGTTCAATTGTTGGTGAATATATTTCATGATTCCCTTACTGTTGTTCAGTTGTTGGTGAGTATATTTCATGATTCCCTTACTGTTTGTTCAGTTGTTGGTGAATATATTGCATGATTCCCTTACTGTTGTTCAGTTGTTGGTGAATATATTGCATGATTCCCTTACTGTTGTTCAGTTGTTGGTGAGTATATTTCATGATTCCCTTACTGTTGTTCAGTTGTTGGTGAATATATTTCATGATTCCCTTATTGTTGTTCAATTGTTGGTGAGTATATTGCATGATTCCCTTACTGTTGTTTCAGTTGTTGGTGAATATATTTCATGATTCCCTTACTGTTGTTCAGTTGTTGGTGAGTATATTTCATGATTCCCTTACTGTTGTTCAGTTGTTGGTGAGTATATTGCATGATTCCCTTACTGTTGTTCAGTTGTTGGTGAGTATATTGCATGATTCCCTTACTGTTGTTCAGTTGTTGGTGAAGTATATTTCATGATTCCCTTACTGTTGTTCAATTGTTGGTGAGTATATATTTCATGATTGAGTATATTGCATGATTCCCTTACTGTTGTTCAATTGTTGGTGAGTATATTTGCATGATTCCCTTACTGTTGTTCAGTTGTTGGTGAATATATTGCTATGATTCCTTACTGTTTTCATGATTCCCTTACAGTTGTTGGTGAGTATATTGCATGATTCCCTTACTGTTGTTCAGTTGTTGGTGAGTATATTTCATGATTCCCTTACTGTTGTTCAGTTGTTGGTGAGTATATTGCATGATTCCCTTACTGTTGTTTCAGTTGTTGGTGAGTATATTGCATGATTCCCTTACTGTTGTTCAGTTGTTGGTGAATATATTTCATGATTCCCTTACTGTTGCTCAGTTTTTGGTGAGTATGTTGCATGATTCCCTTACTGTTTTTCAGTTGTTGGTGAGTATATTGCATAATTCCCTTACTGTTGTTCATTGTTGGTGAATATATTTCATGATTCCCTTACTGTTGTTCAATTGTTGGTGAGTATATTGCATGATTCTCTTACTGTTGTTTAGTTGTTGGTGAGTATATTGCATGATTCCCTTACTGTTGTTTCAGTTGTTGGTGAATATATTTCATGATTCCCTTACTGTTGTTCAGTTGTTGGTGAGTATATTGCATGATTCCCTTACTGTTGTTCAGTTGTTGGTGAATATATTTCATGATTCCCTTACTGTTGTTCAGTTGTTGGTGAATATATTTCATGATTCCCTTACTGTTGTTCAGTTGTTGGTGAGTATATTGCATGATTCCCTTACTGTTGTTCCATTGTTGGTGAATATATTTCATGATTCCCTTACTGTTGTTCAGTTGTTGGTGAATATATTTCATGATTCCCTTATTGTTTTTCAATTGTTGGTGAGTATATTGCATAATTCCCCTACTGTTGTTCAGTTGTTGGTGAATATATTTCATGATTCCCTTACTGTTGTTCAATTGTTGGTGAGTATATTGCATGATTCCCTTACTGTTGTTCAGTTGTTGGTGAATATATTTCATGATTCCCTTACTGTTGTTCAGTTGTTGGTGAATATATTTCATGATTCCCTTATTGTTGTTCAATTGTTGGTGAGTATATTGCATAATTCCCTTACTGTTGTTTCATTGTTGGTGAATATATTTCATGATTCCCTTACTGTTTGTTCCATTGTTGGTGAATATATTTCATGATTCCCTTACTGTTGTTCAGTTGTTGGTGAGTATATTGCATGATTCCCTTACTGTTGTTCAGTTGTTGGTGTATATTATACTGTTGTTCAGTTGTTCATATATTGCATAATTACTTACTGTTGTTCAGTTATTGTTGGTGAATATATTTCATGATTCCCTTACTGTTGTTCAGTTGTTGGTGAGTATATTGCATGATTCCCTTACTGTTGTTTCAGTTGTTGGTGAATATATTTCATGATTCCCTTACTGTTGTTCAATTGTTGGTGAGTATATTGCATGATTCCCTTACTGTTGTTCAGTTGTTGGTGAGTATATTGCATGATTCCCTTACTGTTGTTCAATTGTTGGTGAGTATATTTCATGATTCCCTATATTACTGTTGTTTACATTGTTGGTGAGTATATTTCATGATTCCCTTACTGTTGTTCAGTTGTTGGTGAATATATTTCATGATTCCCTTACTGTTGTTCAATTGTTGGTGAGTATATTGCATGATTCCCTTACTGTTGTTCAGTTGTTGGTGAGTATATTGCATGATTCCCTTACTGTTGTTCAATTGTTGGTGAATATATTTCATGATTCCCTTACTGTTGTTCAATTGTTGGTGAGTATATTGCATGATTCCCTTACTGTTGTTCAGTTGTTGGTGAATATATTTCATGATTCCCTTACTGTTGCTCAATTGTTGGTGAGTATATTGCATGATTCTCTTACTGTTGTTTAGTTGTTGGTGAGTATATTGCATGATTCCCTTACTGTTGTTCAGTTGTTGGTGAGTATATTTCATGATTCCCTTACTGTTGTTCTGTTGTTGGTGAGTATATTGCATGATTCCCTTACTGTTGTTCAGTTGTTGGTGAGTATATTGCATGATTCCCTTACTGTTGTTCAGTTGTTGGTGAATATATTTCATGATTCCCTTACTGTTGTTCAGTTGTTGGTGAGTATATTGCATGATTCCCTTACTGTTGTTCAGTTGTTGGTGAATATATTTCATGATTCCCTTACTGTTGTTCAGTTGTTGGTGAGTATATTGCATGATTCCCTTACTGTTGTTCAGTTGTTGGTGAGTATATTTCATGATTCCATTTACTGTTGTTCTTTACTGTTGTTGGTGAATATATTTCATGATTCCCTTATTGTTGTTCAATTGTTGGTGAGTATATTGCATGATTCCCTTACTGTTGTTCCATTGTTGGTGAATATATTTCATGATTCCCTTACTGTTGTTCAGTTGTTGGTGAGTATATTTCATGATTCCCTTACTGTTGTTCAGTTGTTGGTGAGTATATTGCATGATTCCCTTACTGTTGTTCAGTTGTTGGTGAATATATTTCATGATTCCCTTACTGTTGTTCAATTGTTGGTGAGTATATTGCATGATTCCCTTACTGTTGTTCAGTTGTTGGTGAGTATATTGCATGATTCCCTTACTGTTGTTCAGTTGTTGGTGAATATATTTCATGATTCCCTTACTGTTGTTCAATTGTTGCTGAGTATATTGCATGATTCCCTTACTGTTGTTCAGTTGTTGGTGAATATATTTAATGATTCCCTTACTGTTGTTTAGTTGTTGGTGAGTATATTGCATGATTCCTTACTGTTGTTCAGTTGTTGGTGAATATATTTCATGATTCCCTTACTGTTGTTCAGTTGTTGGTGAGTATATTTCATGATTCCCTTACTGTTGTTTAGTTGTTGGTGAGTATATTGCATGATTCCCTTACTGTTGTTCCGTTGTTGGTGAATATATTTCATGATTCCCTTACTGTTGTTCCATTGTTGGTGAATATATTTCATTATTCCCTTACTGTTATTCAATTGTTGGTGAGTATATTGCATGATTTCCCTACTGTTGTTCTGTTGTTGGTGAATATATTTCATGATTCCCTTACTGTTGCTCAGTTTTTGGTTGGTATGTTGCATGATTCCCTTACTGTTGTTCAGTTGTTGGTGAGTATATTGCATAATTCCCTTACTGTTGTTCAGTTGTTGGTAAATATATTTCATGATTCCCTTATTGTTTTTCAATTGTTGGTGAGTATATTGCATAATTCCCTACTGTTGTTTCATTGTTGGTGAATATATTTCATGATTCCCTTACTGTTGTTCAATTGTTGGTGAGTATATTGCATGATTCCCTTACTTCGTCGTAGACTACACAAGCAGGTGAAGCTGTTACCACAGAGACAACGCAGACCTACACATGCAGGTGAAGCTTTTACCACAGAGACAACGCAGACCTACACATGCAGGTGAAGCTGTTACCACAGAGACAACGCAGACCTACGTGTGTATGATGCGTCAGTGTCTTCATCACGGAACTTGATGAACATGTCGATGAAGTCTCGAATGTTGTTGCGGTCGTATGTCGATTCATGATCCGAAACGATGTCGCTGACAAATTGGGCCAGACGGTCGAACGCTTCAATGTTATCCTGAAGGTCCTGTACACAGACATTCAGACAGTTTACAGTCACTCACTCACTGACTCGCTCCTAGATTCGCTCACTGACTCGTTGATAGACTCGACCATAAACTCGCTGATAGACTCGTTCACTTACTCGCTCACTGACTCGCTCGATCACAGATTCCCCCCAAAGACTCTCTCAGACAGACAGACTGACAGACAGAGAAGTTTATTTCTCAACCAACCAACGGTGGTACATGAGAATATATAAATACATAGGTAAACAAATATATACATGGCAAGTGGCTGGACATGATCATTTGAATATTACTTAGTAAGCGATTTATACAATACATTCAGAAATGACTTTAAGTTCTTTAGATATTTAGTAGTTTTATTACATAATAATTTCTTTAACATTGAATGTTTTTGGAGATCACACATATATGTCGCGAGATAGGTATTTCGCTGTTGGAGAAGGGTTTCACATCTAAAGAGATAGTGAAACTCATCCCCAACAACGTTAGCGTTACACAGCTTACATATTCTTTCCTCTTTTTGAATAGAATGCCATCGACCAGGCTTCAATTGGTAGGTTATTGTTGCAAGTTCTTAGTTTTAATATAGGAAAATATATATCCCTGGATAAGTATAAGTAGTTTTCAAAACATAGTTTATCTTTAAAACATTTATAGAATTGACCTTTAGAACTAGTTTCTATGGAGCTACGCCAATGTTGTAAAAACTGATCTTTGAGAGTAGCTTCAACTTTTAGGACCAGCCATGACGTGGTGACATTGTGGGGGTTTGAGAAAACCTCTGATAAACCGCAGGTATTAAGTATTCTTGTAACAAAAGATATCCATCGGAGTTGACAACCAAAGTTATTAACAGAGATAAAATTATACACCAGTGAGGAGAGTTTACAGTACTGGTTATTTGTTGCTACTTTATGCCAAAAAGAAATAACTCGTTTGTAGTCTTGATTACAGACTCGCTCGCAGGCTCCCTCATAGACTCGCTGATAGACGCGCTCATGAATAGACTCGATCAGATATTCACCCGTAGATTTGACCACAGATTCGCTCATAGACTTGACCATAAACTCGCTCATAGACTCGCTCATGAATAGACTCGATCAGATATTCACCCGTAGATTAGACAATAAACTCGCTCATAGACTTGACCATAAATTCGCTCACAGACTTGCTCCTAAACTCAGTCATAGACTCGATGATTCACTAATAGAAGCACTCATTTAACTGCTAATCCGCCTCACGTGAAAGTATGTAAAATACTGATTACTTAAAAGAAGGTCCTTCATCCACCAATTCAATCTCTCACTCATTCTTTAATCACCCATTCACTCATTCAGGCAGTCATTCATCACATCAAGTCACTTGACGTAAATACACAAACCACGTATGGCATAACGTACAATCACCAACCTTATTGAAAGGGGGAACAAATCTTAATACGGGGAACGCATTGCAGATTTGGAACATTCCTGGCCGCCGGAAGACATCGTTCAACAGCTGCAACATATTCTGGAACTGCTCGTCCTCATACTCAAACCTGAAGATAGAACATTGCCACGAGTTAAATCACGCCGGAATGACAGGATAAGACTGCAACTACAGGTACCCGTGCAACAGGCTGAATGATATGTAGGTATATATCTACACTAACAGGTACACGTGCAACAGGCTAAATGATATGTAGGTATATATCTACACTAACAGGTACCCGTGCAACAGGCTAAATGATATGTAGGTATATATCTACACTAACAGGTACCCGAGCAACAGGCTAAATGAATGATATGTAGGTGGGTATATATCTACACTAACAGGTACCCGTGCAACAGGCTAAATGATATGTAGGTATATATCTACACTAACAGGTACCCGTGCAACAGGCAGGTATATATCTACACTAACTGCAACAGGCTAAATGATATGTAGGTATATATCTACACTAACAGGTACCCGTGCAACAGGCTAAATGATATGTAGGTATATATCTACACTAACAGGTACCCGTGCAACAGGCTAAATGATATGTAGGTATATATCTACACTAACAGGTACCCGTGCAACAGGCTAAATGATATGTAGGTATATATCTACATTAACAGGTACCCGTGCAACAGGCTAAATGATAGGTAGGTATATATCTACACTAACAGGTACCCGTGCAACAGGCTAAATGATATGTAGGTATATATCTACACTAACAGGTACCCGTGCAACAGGCTAAATGATATGTAGGTATATATCTACATTAACAGGTACCCGTGCAACAGGCTAAATGATCGGTAGGCATCTAGCTATGTTCATAGGTACCCGTGTAACAGGCTAAAGGATAGGTAGTAATCTACGGCCCCCCTTTTACTCGTGTAACATGATAATTAGTAGACAGCTATCTACAGCTTTCATGTACTCGTGTAACATGATAATAAGTAGGCAGCTATCTACAGCTTTCATGTACTCGTGTAACACGATAATGAGTAGGCAGCTATCTACAGCTTTCATGTTCTCCTACAACAACATTGTAGTTAGGTAGCAATCTGCTGCTCCTATTTACTCGTGTAACATGATTAATTGCAGGTAGCAGTCTACGCTCCCGTTTAGCGGGATATATAGTAGGTTGGTAGCAGTCTACGCTCCCGTTTAGCGGGATATATAGTAGGTTGGTAGTAATTTACGCTCCCGTTTACCAGGATATATAGTAGGTTGGTAGTAATTTACGCTCCCGTTTAGCGGGATATATAGTAGGTTGGTAGTAATTTACGCTCCCGTTTACCAGGATATATAGTAGGTTGGTAGTAATTTACGCTCCCGTTTAGCGGGATATATAGTAGATTGGTAGTAATCTACACTCGTTCTCGTAATTTACCAGGATATATAGTAGGTTGGTCGTAATTTACGCTCCCGTTTAGCAGGATATATAGTAGGTTGGTAGTAATCTACGCTCCCGTAATTACTCTCGCAGGATATATAGTAGGTTGGTCGTAATTTACGCTCCCGTTTAGCGTTGGTTTAGCAGGATATATAGTAGATTGGTAGTAATCTACGCTCTCGTTTAGCAGGATATATAGTAGATTGGTAGTAATCTACGCTCCCGTTTAGCAGGATATATAGTAGATTGGTAGTAATCTACGCTCTCGTTTAGCAGGATATATAGTAGATTGGTAGTAATCTACGCTCTCGTTTAGCAGGATATATAGTAGATTGGTAGTAATCTACGCGTTTAGCGTTAGTAGATTGGTAGTAATCTACGGTTTAGCATATAGTAGGTTGGTAGTAATCTACGCTCTCGTTTAGCAGGATATATAGTAGGTTGGTAGTAATCTACGCTCCCGTTTACCAGGATATATAGTAGGTTGGTCGTAATTTACGCTCCCGTTTAGCGGGATATATAGTAGGTTGGTAGTAATCTACGCTCTCGTTTAGCAGGATATATAGTAGGTTGGTAGTAATCTACGCTCCCGTTTAGCGGGATATATAGTAGGTTGGTAGTAATCTACGCTCTCGTTTAGCAGGATATATACAGTAGTAGGTTGGTAGTAATCTACACTCCCGTTTGGCGGGATATATAGTAGGTTGGTAGTAATCTACACTCTCGTTTAGCAGGATATATAGTAGGTTGGTAGTAATCTACACTCCCGTTTAGCGGGATATATAGTAGGTTGGTAGTAATCTACACTCAATTAATACAAACATGACGCTTTATGCACGGGTCCATTCCAAGTTAAACTATCATATCCTCTGGCAATTGGCATACTTGCATCCCAATTATAAATCTGCCCTCCAAATATGTATTAAAATCTCCTCACGTGGCAAAATATCTAAAGAATGTAACCTATGTAACAAATATACTTATGATTATGATTTTCATATACTCCTACACTGTGAACAATTTCACACTGAGAGAAACGATTTTTTTGTGTTTATGATTGACAATCTTGATGTGGAGACCTATGTTGCCTTTGAATCACAGGATGAACTCGACATGCTCTCTTTTCTATTTGGAGGTGAAACTGTTTTTAATGATACTGTTGATCAAGGGACATGGGAAACAATCATTTTACGATTTTCTTTATACATTTACCGAATAAGACGACATCTCCTACAATGTTACACTGATTGATCTCTGCAGATTTATAATGATGTATGTCCACTGTTTCTTGTATAAATTAATTGTATACACTTATACATGTATGTTCTTATGTAAATTGTAGCTTTAGGTATTCATCTTGATTAATATAATTGTATATACATCTATATCAATTTTGTAACTTTACCTGTTTGTTGTATCTACATGTATATAATATGTTTGATCTTCGGATGATCGTCTGGAGGAAATAAAGACTCTCTCTCTCTCTCTCTCTCTCTCTCTCTCTCTCTCTCTCTCTCTCTCTCTCTCTCTCTCTCTCTCTCTCTCTCTCTCTCTCTCTCTCTCTCTCTCTCTCTCTCTCTCTCTCTCTCTCTCTCTCTCTCTCTCTCTCTCTCTCTCTCTCTCTCTCTCTGTACTTCACTATAAATGGATCTGACAAACCATAAAAATCAAATTACATTAACAAATGTATATTCGTATATGAGCAACTCAAAACGATTTAGATAGTTTTCTGCCTGTACACCTGTTGTATTATAATATTTCCCCTAAACTATCAATCTTCTTTTCTGTCTGTTTCCAAATTAGGATTGCCTGCGCCGTGTTATTGTAAATATCTTTGAGAGGGGATTTATATGGTGTAAGATCCTGTCCCCGATCCTTTACACTTTGTGAATAGTGAGTGAGTTAAACTGTACCGTCTTACGCACTATTTCAGTCATATAGTGACGAGAAAGGGTTTGCACAAACAGTAAATACGAGCTGTTAAACAACCAGTCATTGACAGATTGTAAACCATCTAGAGAATCAAAGATGGTGCTAAAGCTAGCACGTAAATCTAAAACTATTTTATTTACGAAGACAATACAATGTAAGAACAACAGGCTAAACGTCGCCAACAACTGAAGGTAGATGACCATACTAGGGACCATGTGGACTTTCAGTGCTTTTGCTACCTGCATGGACCCTAGTTGGATTTACACCATTCCTTCAGCCGCTGACGATGGTAACGAAAACTTTGTGAATAAAATATATTTAAACTAATAAAAAGTAGGGTGCCGTTGTACAAAACAACCTTAGCGCTAAGGCTACCTCAAGTCCATGTTAAGGTATGGGAGTTACGGTCACCTTAGCGCTAAGATCGTTTTGTACAACGGCACCTTGGATAACTAATAGGTAGGAAGCAATGTACGGCTCCTCTTTTCTCGAGCAACAGGCTCCACAACCTTGTCCGATATTTATCTACAAGTGCATGGAAATGGTCTGTTTTTACCTTGAACCAAAGATGATATTGCAGATGATGTTAGAAGTTGCCATGGCGAGGTATTTGTGGAGTGCTATTGGTTTCTTCTCATTTTCAGACATAACTCCAATAATAACTTTTACTTCGTCTTGCATTTTGTCTTCCATTGATATCTTCCCCATACCGAAGTCTCTCATTGCATGGAGGCTCATCCGCCGTAGAGCTTTCCACTGTTGCCCACTGCTTAAGATGACACCTGCAACGTAGCCAGCAAAAGAGGAATACTTGTGTACGTTATAAACACCATGATCTTCAGACCAGTAAAGGAGGAATACTTGTGTACGTTACAAACACCATGATCTTCAGACCAGTAAAGGAGGAATACTTGTGTACGTTATAAACACCATGATCTTCAGACCAGTAAAGGAGGAATACTTGTGTACGTTATAAACACCATGATCTTCAGACCAGTAAAGGAGGAATACTTGTGTACGTTATAAACACCATGATCTTCAGACCAGTAAAGGAGGAATACTTGTGTACGTTATAACACCATGATCTTCAGACCAGTAAAGGAGGAATACTTGTGTACGTTATAAACACCATGATCTTCAGACCAGTAAAGGAGGAATACTTGTGTACGTTATAAACACCATGATCTTCAGACCAGTAAAGGAGGAATACTTGTGTACGTTATAAACACCATGATCTTCAGACCAGCAAAGGAGGAAAACTTGTGTACGTTATAAACACCATGATCTTCAGACCAGTAAAGGAGGAATACTTGTGTACGTTATAAACACCATGATCTTCAGACCAACAAAGTAGGAATACTTGTGTACGTTATAAACACCATGATCTTCAGACCAGTAAAGGAGGAATACTTGTGTACGTTATAAACACCATGATCTTCAGACCAGCAAAGGAGGAATACTTGTGTACGTTATAAACACCATGATCTTCAGACCAGCAAAGGAGGAATACTTGTGTACGTTACAAAACACCATGATCTTCAGACCAGTAAAGGAGGAATACTTGTGTACGTTATAAACACCATGATCTTTCAGACCAGTAAAGGAGGAATACTTGTGTACGTTATAAACACCATGATCTTCAGACCAGTAAAGGAGGAATACTTGTGTACGTTATAAACACCATGATCTTCAGACCAGTAAAGGAGGAATACTTGTGTACGTTATAAACACCATGATCTTCAGACCAGCAAAGGAGGAATACTTGTGTACGTTATAAACACCATGATCTTCAGACCAGCAAAGGAGGAATACTTGTGTACGTTACAAACACCATGATCTTCAGACCAGTAAAGGAGGAATACTTGTGTACGTTATAAACACCATGATCTTCAGACCAGTAAAGGAGGAATACTTGTGTAATGTTATAAAACACCATGATCTTCAGACCAGTAAAGGAGGAATACTTGTGTACGTTATAAACACCATGATCTTCAGACCAGTAAAGGAGGAATACTTGTGTACGTTATAAACACCATGATCTTCAGACCAGTAAAGGAGGAATACTTGTGTACGTTATAAACACCATGATCTTCAGACCAGTAAAGGAGGAATACTTGTGTACGTTATAAACACCATGATCTTCAGACCAGTAAAGGAGGAATACTTGTGTACGTTATAAAACACCATGATCTTCAGACCAGTAAAGGAGGAATACTTGTGTACGTTATAAACACCATGATCTTCAGACCAGTAAAGGAGGAATACTTGTGTACATGATCTTTATAAACACCATGATCTTCAGACCAGTAAAGGAGGAGGACCATGATCTTCAGACCAGTAAAGGAGGAATACTTGTGTACGTTATAAACACCATGATCTTCAGACCAGTAAAGGAGGAATACTTGTGTACGTTATAAACACCATGATCTTCAGACCAGTAAAGGAGGAATACTTGTGTACGTTATAAACACCATGATCTTCAGACCAGCAAAGGAGGAATACTTGTGTACGTTATAAACACCATGATCTTCAGACCAGTAAAGGAGGAATACTTGTGTACGTTATAAACACCATGATCTTCAGACCAGTAAAGGAGGAATACTTGTGTACGTTATAAACACCATGATCTTCAGACCAGTAAAGGAGGAATACTTGTGTACGTTATAAACACCATGATCTTCAGACCAGCAAAGGAGGAATACTTGTGTACGTTATAAACACCATGATCTTCAGACCAGTAAAGGAGGAATACTTGTGTACGTTATAAACACCATGATCTTCAGACCAGCAAAGGAGGAATACTTGTGTACGTTATAAACACCATGATCTTCAGACCAAGCAAAGGAGGAATACTTGTGTACGTTATAAACACCATGATCTTCAGACCAGTAAAGGAGGAATACTTGTGTACGTTATAAACACCATGATCTTCAGACCAGTAAAGGAGGAATACTTGTGTACGTTATAAACACCATGATCTTCAGACCAGTAAAGGAGGAATACTTGTGTACGTTATAAACACCATGATCTTCAGACCAGTAAAGGAGGAATACTTGTGTACGTTACAAACACCATGATCTTCAGACCAGTAAAGGAGGAATACTTGTGTACGTTATAAACACCATGATCTTCAGACCAGCAAAGGAGGAATACTTGTGTACGTTATAAACACCATGATCTTCAGACCAACAAAGGAGGAATACTTGTGTACGTTACAAACACCATGATCTTCAGACCAGTTCATAGAACGGAGTAGTTGGAGGTAAGCCATGTGCAGTTGATGTAGGCGTTCTTTCACTCACTCGCTCTTCAAGATTTTTAACTCTATTGATGGACGAGCTGTGGGTTGTCTTAATGTTGATTGAAACTTACAAACAGTTCTACGACTGACTCTACGGTTTGACTCACGATATTCAAGATACCATGAAGTGTTCAACTATGATGATTAGCAGTGAAGCCATCCCTGCACCCTCAAGCCAGTGCCTTGCCGTAGCTACGCGATGAAGTCTGTGTTTACCCTAACACGACCCCTATATTTGATGTGATGAAGATGTGAGTCTGTGTTTACCCTAACACGACCCCTCTATTTGATGTGATGAAGATGTGAGTCTGTGTTTACCTCTACACGACCCCTGTATTTGACGTGATAAAGATGTGAGTGTGTGTTTACCTCAACACGACCCCTATAATTGACGTGATGAAGATGTGAGTCTGTGTTTACCCTAACACGACCCCTATATTTGATGTGATGAAGATGTGAGTCTGTGTTTACCTCTACACGACCCCTGTTTTTGACGTGATGAAGATGTGAGTGTGTGTTTACCCTAACACGACCCCTGTATTTGATGTGATGAAGATGTGAGTGTGTGTTTACCTCAGCACGACCCCTATATTTGACGTGATGAAGATGTAAGTCTGTGTTTACGCTAACACGACACCTACATTTGATGTGATAAAGATGTGAGTGTGTGTTTACCCCAACACGATCATTATATTTGATGTGATGAGGTGTGAGTCTGTGTTTACCTCAACACGACCCCTGTATTTGATGTGAGGAAGATGTGAGTTTGTGTTTACCCTAACACGATCATTATATTTGATGTGATGAAGATGTGAGTCTGTGTTTACCTCAACACGACCCCTATATTTGATGTGATGAAGATGTGAGTATGTGTTTACCTCAACACGACCCCTATATTTGATGTGATGAAGATGTGAGTTTGTGTTTACCTCAACACGACCCCTATATTTGATGTGATGAAGATGTGAGTCTGTGTTTACCTCAACACGACCCCTGTATTTGATGTGAGGAAGATGTGAGTTTGTGTTTACCCTAACACGACCCCTATATTTGATGTGATGAAGATGTGAGCATGTGTTTACCTCAACACGACCCCTGTATTTGATGTGATGAAGATGTGAGTTTGTGTTTTTACCTCAACACGACCCCTGTATTTGATGTGATGAAGATGTGAGTCTGTGTTTACCCTAACACGATCATTATATTTGATGTGATAAAGAATTGAGTCTGTGTTTACCTCAACACGACCCCTGTATTTGATGTGATGAAGATGTGAGTGTGTGTTTACCTCATCACGACCCCTATATTTGATGTGATGAAGATGTGAATCTGCGTTTACCCCAACACGATCAATATTTTTGATGTGATGAAGATGTGAGTGTGGATTTGCCCCAACACGACGCCTGTATTTGATGTGATGAAGATGTGAGTATGTGTTTACCTCAACACGACCCCTATATTTGATGTGATGAAGATGTGAGTCTGTGTTTACCCCAACACGATCAATATTTTTGATGTGATGAAGATGTGAGTCTGGATTTGCCCCAACACGACCTATATATTTGATGTGATGAAGATGTGAGTATGTGTTTACCCCAACACGACCCCTGTATTTGATGTGATGAAGATGTGAGTTTGTGTTTACCTCAACACGACCCCTGTATTTGATGTGATGAAGATGTGAGTCTGTGTTTACCTCAACACGACCCCTGCATTTGATGTGATGAAGATGTGAGTCTGTGTTTACCTGAACACGACCCCTGTATTTGATGTGAGGAAGATGTGAGTTTGTGTTTACCTTTACACGACCCCTATATTTGATGTGATGAAGATGTGAGTCTGTGTTTACCTCAACACGACCCCTATATTTGATGTGATGAAGATGTGAGTCTGTGTTTACCTCAACACGACCCCTATATTTGATGTGATGAAGATGTGAGTCTGTGTTTACCTCAACACGACCCCTATATTTGATGTGATGAAGATGTGAGTCTGTGTTTACCCCAACACGACCCCTATATTTGATGTGATGAAGATGTGGGTCTGTGTTTACCTCAACACGATCCCTGTATTTGATGTGATAAAGATGTGAGTCTGTTTTTACCTCAACACAACGCCTGTATTTGATGTGATGAAGATGTGAGTCTGTGTTTACCTCAACACGACCCCTGTATTTGATGTGATGAAGATGTGAGTCTGTGTTTACCTCAACACGACCCCTGTATTTGATGTGATGAAGATGTGAGTCTGTGTTTACCCTAACACGATCATTATATTTGATGTGATGAAGATGTGAGTCTGTGTTTACCCTAACACGACCCCTGTATTTGATGTGTGTTTGACAGACCCCTGTATTTGATGTGATGAAGATGTGTTTGTGTTTTACAACAACACGACCCCTGTATTTGATGTGATGAAGATGTGAGTGTGTGTTTACCCCAACACGACCCCTGTATTTGATGTGATGAAGATGTGAGTTTGTGTTTACCCCAACACGACCCCTATATTTGATGTGATGAAGATGTGAGTTTGTGTTTACGCCAACAGGACCCCTGTATTTGATGTGATGAAGATGTGAGTCTGTGTTTACCCTAACACGACCCCTATATTTGATGTGATGAAGATGTGAGTCTGTGTTTACCTCAACACGACCCCTATATTTGATGTGATGAAGATGTGAGTCTGTGTTTACCCCAACACGACCCCTATATTTGATGTGATGAAGATGTGGGTCTGTGTTTACCCCAACACGACCCCTATATTTGATGTGATGAAGATGTGAGTCTGTGTTTACCTCAACACGACCCCTGTATTTGATGTGAGGAAGATGAAGATGCGAGTCTGTGTTTACCCTAACACGACCCCTATATTTGATGTGATGAAGATGTGAGTTTGTGTTTACCTCAACACGACCCCTGTATTTGATGTGATAAAGATGTGAGTCTGTTTTTACCTCAACACGACCCCTGTATTTGATGTGATGAAGATGTGAGTCTGTGTTTACCTCAACAGGACCCCTGTATTTGATGTGATGAAGATGTGAGTCTGTGTTTACCTCAACACGACCCCTGTATTTGATGTGATGAAGATGTGAGTCTGTGTTTACCCTAACACGATCATTATATTTGATGTGATGAAGATGTGAGTTTGTGTTTACCCTAACACGATCATTATATTTGATGTGATGAAGATGTGAGTCTGTGTTTACCCTAACACGACCCCTATATTTGATGTGATGAAGATGTGTGTCTGTGTTTACCTCAACACGACCCCTGTATTTGATGTGATGAAGATGTGAGTCTGTGTTTACCCTTACACGACCCCTGTATTTGATGTGATGAAGATGTGAGTCTGTGTTTATCCTAACACGACTCCTGTATTTGATGTGATGAAGATGTGAGTCTGTGTTTAACCCAACATGACCAACCTACAGTCTCACTTTACCGACAGTCTATGCAAACTCACAAACTTGAAATCCAATCCATTGTTTCGTTGATCGCAATAAGAATGGAACACACATTAAGCTGACCCTGAGTGTGGCACTATCACGTTTGTCACGTATGTCACGTATGTCACGTAAGGTAATTCTGCTAAACGGTGGGTTTAAGTACATCTGACTGGGATCATACCCTTGCCAGTGTCAGTGGCCCCTCTATCAACTGTTACAAAACCCTCCTCATATTGTTTGTCTGTGTGTACAGGGTGTGTTGGGGGTAATTGTTACACATACTCAACTGTGCATGCTACAATCGGTTACAGGTACCCTGAAACGTAGGGTCACTTACTCACCCGTTCCTATTTTCTTGGAGATAAGCAGGAAGCTTGGTCTGTCGCTGAAGACATCTGCTCGCTTCATGAGCACCTCGTGAATCCTAGTGTATCCATTGACGACCACGATGTGCAGCTTGCCGAACGTCAGGGTGAAGATGTCGCCCAGCTGTTGAGCCTGCTGCATGAACACCTCGGGTAGCTTGCCTCGGTTTGCTTTCAGCAGGAGGATGTCGCCCACAAAGGGCAGCCCGCGAGGTGAAGGGGGCTGATTCTTACGACGAGTCATCACATTGTATATTATGACAAATGCCAGAATAAACACTACAAGAGTAGGAAGATCCAGTGCCTCCAACATAACTGGTGTCCCGGTTCACCACACACACTGCAGTCAGTCAATGCGCGTCATGTGATATGCGCGTAACTCACCGGGTCAAATACCAGCACCCTGACCTACAATGTACGAGGGGGTGTCCCAAATGTTTCCGGCCTCACCGTGAACAGATCGCACAAACTCAACACAACCCACGTATCAAGAACTGTAACTTCGCATTTGTTTGTAAATTCCACGTGCTCTAATTTGCTACATATAGCTGTCAAACAGAATGACCCGATCATTTGCTACATATAGCTGTCAAACAGAATGACCCTATCATTTGCTACATATAGCTGTCAAACAGAATGACCCTATCATTTGCTACATATAGCTGTCAAACAGAATGACCCTATCATTTGCTACATATAGCTGTCAAACAGCATGACCCTATCATTTGCTACATATAGCTGTCAAACAGAATGACCCGATCATTTGCTACATATAGCTGTCAAACAGAATGACCCTATCATTTGCTACATATAGCTGTCAAACAGCATGACCCTATCATTTGCTACATATAGCTGTCAAACAGAATGACCCGATCATTTGCTACATATAGCTGTCAAACAGAATGACCCGATCATTTGCTACATATAGCTGTCAAACAGAATGACCCTATCATTTGCTACATATAGCTGTCAAACAGCACGACCCTATCATTTGCTACATATAGCTGTCAAACAGAATGACCCTATCATTTGCTACATATAGCTGTCAAACAGAATGACCCGATCATTTGCTACATATAGCTGTCAAACAGCATGACCCGATCATTTGCTACATATAGCTGTCAAACAGAATGACCCTATCATTTGCTACATATAGCTGTCAAACAGCATGACCCTATCATTTGCTACATATAGCTGTCAAACAGAATGACCCGATCATTTGCTACATATAGCTGTCAAACAGAATGACCCGATCATTTGCTACATATAGCTGTCAAACAGAATGACCCTATCATTTGCTACATATAGCTGTCAAACAGAATGACCCGATCATTTGCTACATATAGCTGTCAAACAGAATGACCCGATCATTTGCTACATATAGCTGTCAAACAGCATGACCCTATCATTTGCTACATATAGCTGTCAAACAGAATGACCCGATCATTTGCTACATATAGCTGTCAAACAGCATGACCCTATCATTTGCTACATATAGCTGTCAAACAGAATGACCCGATCATTTGCTACATATAGCTGTCAAACAGAATGACCCGATCATTTGCTACATATAGCTGTCAAACAGAATGACCCGATCATTTGCTACATATAGCTGTCAAACAGCATGACCCTATCATTTGCTACATATAGCTGTCAAACAGAATGACCCGATCATTTGCTACATATAGCTGTCAAACAGAATGACCCTATCATTTGCTACATATAGCTGTCAAACAGCATGACCCTATCATTTGCTACATATAGCTGTCAAACAGAATGACCCTATCATTTGCTACATATAGCTGTCAAACAGAATGACCCGATCATTTGCTACATATAGCTGTCAAACAGAATGACCCTATCATTTGCTACATATAGCTGTCAAACAGCACGACCCTATCATTTGCTACATATGGCTGTCAAACAGAATGACCCTATCATTTGCTACATATAGCTGTCAAACAGAATGACCCGATCATTTGCTACATATAGCTGTCAAACAGCATGACCCTATCATTTGCTACATATAGCTGTCAAACAGAATGACCCTATCATTTGCTACATATAGCTGTCAAACAGCATGACCCTATCATTTGCTACATATAGCTGTCAAACAGAATGACCCTATCATTTGCTACATATAGCTGTCAAACAGAATGACCCGATCATTTGCTACATATAGCTGTCAAACAGAATGACCCGATCATTTGCTACATATAGCTGTCAAACAGAATGACCCGATCATTTGCTACATATAGCTGACAAACAGCATGACCCTATCATTTGCTACATATAGCTGTCAAACAGAATGACCCGATCATTTGCTACATATAGCTGTCAAACAGAATGACCCTATCATTTGGTACATATAGCTGTCAAACAGAATGACCCGATCATTTGCTACATATAGCTGTCAAACAGAATGACCCGATCATTTGCTACATATAGCTGTCAAACAGCATGACCCTATCATTTGCTACATATAGCTGTCAAACAGAATGACCCGATCATTTGCTACATATAGCTGTCAAACAGAATGACCCGATCATTTGCTACATATAGCTGTCAAACAGAATGACCCTATCATTTGCTACATATAGCTGTCAAACAGCATGACCCTGTCATTTGCTACATATAGCTGTCAAACAGAATGACCCGATCATTTGCTACATATAGCTGTCAAACAGAATGACCCGATCATTTGCTACATATAGCTGTCAAACAGAATGACCCTATCATTTGCTACATATAGCTGTCAAACAGAATGACCCTATCATTTGCTACATATAGCTGTCAAACAGCATGACCCTATCATTTGCTACATATAGCTGTCAAACAGAATGACCCGATCATTTGCTACATATAGCTGTCAAACAGAATGACCCTATCATTTGCTACATATAGCTGTCAAACAGAATGACCCTATCATTTGCTACATATAGCTGTCAAACAGAATGACCCGATCATTTGCTCTCAAAATGCAGAGAACCGAATGCAGGGATGTTATGAAGTATCTTCACTACAGAAAGTTTACGCAGAAACACATTCATGATGATACTACACATTCATGATGATACTACACATTCATGATGATACTACACATTCATGATAATACTACACATTCATGATGATACTACACATTCATGATGATACTACACATTCATGATGATACTACACATTCATGATGATACTACACATTCATGATGATACTACACATTCATGATGATACTACACATTCATGATGATACTACACATTCATGATGATACTACACATTCATGATGATACTACACATTCATGATGATACTACACATTAGGTTACTTGCTTTGCCCTAAACTTTTGATATTTTTTTTAAAACTTTGTTTTTGGCTTGATAAGTCATTCCTTCACCGACTGCACAACATATCTTGACTTGATAAGTCATTCCTTCACCGACTGCACAGCATATCTTGACTTGATAAGTCATTCCTTCACCGACTGCACAGCATATCTTGACTTGATAAGTCATTCCTTCACCGACTGCACAGCATATCTTGACTTGATAAGTCATTCCTTCACCGACTGCACAACATATCTTGACTTGATAAGTCATTCCTTCACCGACTGCACAGCATATCTTGACTTGATAAGTCATTCCTTCACCGACTGCACAACATATCTTGACTTGATAAGTCATTCCTTCACCGACTGCACAGCATATCTTGACTTGATAAGTCATTCCTTCACCGACTGCACAGCATATCTTGACTTGATAAGTCATTCCTTCACCGACTGCACAGCATATCTTGACTTGATAGTCATTCCTTCACCGACTGCAGCATAGCATATCTTGACTGCTACAGCATATCTTGACTTGATAAGTCATTCCTTCACCGACTGCACAGCATATCTTGACTTGATAAGTCATTCCTTCACCGACTGCACAGCATATCTTGACTTGATAAGTCATTCCTTCACCGACTGCACCGACTGACTTGATAAGTCATATCTTGCACAGCATATCTTGAGTCATGAGTCATTCCTTCACCGACTGCACAGCATATCTTGACTTGATAAGTCATTCCTTCACCGACTGCACAGCATATCTTGACTTGATAAGTCATTCCTTCACCGACTGCACAGCATATCTTGACTTGATAAGTCATTCCTTCACCGACTGCACAGCATATCTTGACTTGATAAGTCATTCCTTCACCGACTGCACAACATATCTTTCATCAACGTTCAGAATTTATAAATCAAAGAATCAACATGGAAATTTCATGTGAACCTCCAGACTCGAGACTTCCTTGACAACAATTAGAGTTCATGTCGGGTAAGCATATCACTTTATAATTTATATTTATTCATTCTCACATACTATCTAAAGTCTAGAAATTGAACTATAGAAATACATTTTCCATCTATGCACTGGTACATTTTTGAGTAAATTCTACGCACTATACATGATTGTCAATAGACAAGCACAACCTCAAGGCTTGCAGATTGAAGGAACTTTTCACAATATGGACACACCTAACTAGTCAACATCATTCATGAATAAGATTTATACATATTTTTGGACAGAAAACAAGTCAGCTTCTGAAAACAAAACAAAATGCATAATAAGTCAAATCATCATTTTAATAAACTAAATAGATATGGTTTCAAATGGTGAAGGAAATCAGTAGGTGTGACACAGAGAAAAACGTTAGTTCCTTTGAAACAAAAATAATGCTGATCATTAAAGACAAACAGAAAGCATTAATAGTCAAAGAACAGTAAAGAACATATCTGAAAGGTAACTATGTACCCATTAATTCTGATAAGTACTGGAAAACAAACATAAGGAGAGACATAAACATAAACATAAGTTAGTTCTTTGAAAAGAAATATTTATCATGGTCATTATGACAAACAAAAACACATTAAGAGTCAATAACGTCGTCAATGTAGTTTCTGAAAAGAAATAACAAATAGCTAGGTCTGAATAAATTTAAATGTGTGATAAGAAAAGCTTGTATCAACTACACATTACACTGAGTAACTTTGAATCAGCTGGCATCATGCACGCTGTGGCATGTAGGTCAGGTTCCCCCATTACCCTTGGATTACCCTACACCAGTCAGATGCATGTAGGTCAGGTTCCAACATTACCCTTGGATTACCCTACACCAGTCAGATGCATGTAGGTCAGGTTCCAACATTACCCTTGGATTACCCTACACCAGTCAGATGCATGTAGGTCAGGTTCCACACTACCCGGGGATTACCCTACACCAGTCAGATGCATGTAGGTCAGGTTCCCACACTACCTGGGGATTACCCTACACCAGTCAGATGCATGTAGGTCAGGTTCCAA